TATTATATAATAATATAAAAATATATTTTCTTCAAAATAGTATAATAATTATTTCAATGAAAAAATTTATTTCATTGAAATAATGTTAAAGCTGAAATAGCAATAGAAACTTAAAAATTAAAAAATGTAGTTCAATCATTGTGCTTTATTTTCAAAGTTAATTTTCAATTTTCAATTTCATTGTATAATCATTGATAAATTTTAAAGTCTTAAAAAAAATATTAATTGAATGATTTGCTATAAATACTCATTTCTGTAAAATTTCATTTTACAGTTTTGTAAAATTTGTAGCTATATGATTTACCAGTATTTCATTGTTATATTCAAGAAATTATGAATCCATAATTCTTATTAGTGTTGACAAATTTTGAAAGTTTGTTGGATGTATCAACTGATTAAAGTAATATTTATGATCATTTAAATTTAAAACTGAAATTTATTTTGGATTCTTAGTATGATATCACACAATAAAAAATGAGAAATATTAGCATTTGATATTTTCATTTTGATCACATATATAAATTATATACATAACATGTGAATTTTATATCAATTTAATTATCATATTTATGTATTATATCAAATTAACTAAATTGTGAATATTATAATATTTATGAAAAATTTATTAAAAATTAGAAATGTCTATTTATTTGTATGCTAAAGGAGAAAAACTTGAAATCAAATAATCTCGGATTAAAATCATGAATATAAAACTATCATATATAAAATAATTACTCATATATGATAATTCATTCATTTTCATCTTGATTATAAAATTAATGCCATGAAATATTGACATAGAATGATGAAAATGTTTGTAACTGTGTTGTTTCATATAGCTTCGCATTGCATAATATATTTTATTCTGCAATAGAGTTGTACACAAATCTTTTACTTCTATTGTTATTTGTTGAAGCATGAATGAACAAATTGTTATGATTTTGAATAATTAGTAAACGTTGTTTGTAATGTCTGAAAAACATATTTCAATAATGTTGATAAAAAAATTTATTTCATAAGTAATAAATGAATTTTCATGTGTTGCAAAACATGTAACATATGTTGATTTTGAGATATTGTAATATATTTTGATTTAAAATACTTATTCAATAATTGAAAAAGCTTATAATTTTTTTCATATAATTTAATCGAAATTATCACTATTTTGAATATTTCTTGAATCTTTAAGCATATATATGTTGTTCTTATAATAATGAATAGGCAATGCACTAGAAAAAATATTTGCTTTTCAATATATATATATATATATATATATATATATATATCAGAATATTAAAAAAATTATATATTTTTGTAGATATTTCAGAATTTTTATTTATATCATATTATTCAAAATAGTAATTAGAATAAAATTCAATTCATATATCTCATGTTATATTCTTTCAAAATGTGGATTTATTTAAATTTATATAAAATGTTGAAGATGATTTTTTATGTATATTTTTAAAATAATTATAATGATATTTAGATGAATCAACAATCAATCTGAACAATCTATTATTAGGTTAATTTAATTTTTAAAAAATTATGATGAAAATATTCATGGTCATAAAATCAATTATAAAAAATAAAAATATAAGAAAAAATATATAATTCTAAGAATTTTCAATTGCATTCAAATAGAATGATTGAAGCTGTATGATTACATTATTGAATAAATAGAATTATAAAAGAGAATTAAAAAAATAGATTTAATTTTGATATTGTATGAAGTTTTTGAGGGCACATATAGATAATCTTTGTAGTATGTGGTTTTCTTGCTATTTACATTGAAAAGATGTTAAAATAATAATAATGAGATGTATTTTTTATGTTTTTCAAAACATACAATCTTCTACTTTTCCGAATATTTTGATTTATAAATTGTGAAGTCTATTTTGCATCATAAGACACATCAATATGATCAATTTATGATGTAACCTCATAAATTTTGAATTGTAACACATCAATCAACAAATATGCAGTGCAATTGTAGGTTTTCTAAAGTATGTTGTGACATTATTTTTGAAGTGATTATTTATATTCATATCACATCATCTTTTTTGAATCATAAATTTTAATTAGATTTTTATGTTCAAGAAATTTTACATATTACATGTTATTAAAATAAATCTTTTCCATGTTATAAAAACTACAACAATAATGACTTGAACTTATTAGATTAACATATCATGAATATCAAAATAATGTTGTGATGACAAATTTTTTTATTCATCTATTAAATATTTTGTTTCATTTGGATATAAACATTTAGTGAAACCATCAATCTTGATCAAATGATTAATACAACTTATAATGATTTTTTCATAACTAATTTTGCAAAGTAATTAAATGAAGATTCAAAATTCTTATATTTATTTTTTTGGGTGCAATGATGTTGATTGAAGATTTCGTTTTTTGTATGTTTAGAGATTATATGTTGAGCATGATCAATGTTTTGAAATTTTAATGAATACATTTTTATATACGTTTGAATGATTTGTTTGATTTTTTAGTTTAAACTTAATGTGAAATTATGATTGTTGTGCAACCTGTTGTACTAATATTTATATTTGAAGAGTATAATGATGTATTAGTGAATTCAATAATACTGTATCATGATAGAGTATACTTTACATTAATTTTTGATAGAAGACAGTCTTTTTAACGATTACATCTGAGTTTTCAATGAGATTGCAATCAGAAGATCAACAATATGAATGATAATCAATACAAAATTCTTATTTTGTAAGGATTTGATACATTTGCTGATCTTCAAGTAAGAATTTGATATATTTGTAGATCTTCAAGATTTGTGTTACTTGACGTGGTGATTTCTTGGAATAAAACGTGTGTCCAAATCACATTTTTTGTCATGAGGAATGTTTATATTGAATATTTGTTGGACAGATCTTTAACTCCACACTTGATAAGCTAATGGCAGATGAGCTAACAAACCATGATTCACCATACCTGGAGTGAGTATTTTGCTTCATGAGAGATATATATAATCAATATATGATAACGTATTCGGATATTGTTATACTTTGGGTGGAACGACTAGGATATACAGGATGGTAGAGATTGTAAACTGCGATAGACTAATATTGAAAGAGCGAACTTTCCAAACATGTCAGTGCACAAGTGTCAATATGCTCAAAGTAATGTTGCTGATCAATATGATCCAAGATGATGGCAACAAAATAACCGTAGGCAATAGAATCAGTGCTCTTTGCATCAAATATATCAAATTCCAAATCTTGAGACAAGCTATAAACTTTTTGTGTAGTTTATGAAGTTTGAGATAAAGATAAAGTTTGATTTTTTGCAAGAGTATGTCACTAACCCATCTCCTAAACTTGTCCACTGTCGTACAATGGCTCATACTATACATATTTAGACCTTCTCCATCCCATGTAAATCTATGCAAAGAAAGTAGATAGAGAGAGGCAATTGGAAAGGGAATTGAGAGTAGGACGGAAAGGATCGACGAGAGAAAAAAGAGTTTGAGAAGTAAAGAAAGAGAAGAGAGAATATGGGGAAGAGAAATCGAGTGTTTGACGGAAGAAATCGACGAGAGGAAGAATAGTGTGAGATAGAAAGAAAGAGAGATAGAGAATACGGGCAAGAGAAATCGAGCGTAGGACGGAAAGAGTCGACGAGAGAAAGAAGAGTGTGAGAAAGAAAGAAAGAGAGATAGAGAATACGGGTAAGAGAAATCGAGTGTAGGACGGAAGGAGTCGACGAGGGAAAGAAGAATGCGAGAAAGAGAGGAAGAGAGAAATGGAACCTAGTCAAGCGTGACAAATATATTGTTTAAGGGATAGAGCACGGAAATATTTAATTGGGATAGCGAGGAAGCGATTGCCCATGTCATCAGTTCTCGCACTACAAAGTGGAAGAGTGTGGCAGATAAGTACACATTTTATAGATTTTATTAGTATATATGTCAGTAGATATATTGTGTTTTTCAACTTTTGACCCTCTAAATCCCATGGCCTTGATCTATTTACCAGTTCCCAGATTATCATTGTAATTAAGTAATGGTTTTTAAGTAAATTCTTGCTAACAAACATCGAGGTTATTTGTGGGTGAGGATTTGAGTGAGACAAATTTCACTTTCTCTTACGAAAAGGTTTTCTTTCAACATGCGCAAGAAAATCTTTTATCGATTTGTTTGATCAAAACACTATTGTATGTGTCAGGATTTTGGACAAGACATTCGTACACCAAGCGATTCATATCATTTACAATAGTGCAGAATAGCACTCAGCTCCCATAGACGCCAAACGTGAATCAAACATCCACTACCCTTATACGTAAATAGCTTGATTCCATTCCACCCTCCTTGACGATAGCTCCGAGAAGATGACAAAGTTTTGACAAGCGACAATCTTATCCGCAACAGGTTCTGTTACATATTTCTCCGGGAATTACTCCACGAATTCAAAACGTCTTTGATCAAAATAAAGAAACGGACAACCTTCGTTATCTGATATTTCTAAATATCACAAGTAACAGATACAACAGCATAACGTTCATTGAACGACGACTTTACAATGTAAGCTCCTGCAATTTCGCCATAGAAAAAGGCCCCGAGAATATCCGCTGCATTTTCGCCTTGAGACGAGGTTCCTGCATCAGTTGTTAAGACTTGATCTGGCCATCATGTTCAAGAACCCACTGATCCACTTCCTCAAAAATAACACATTCATCTCCAAAATCTCGGATTCATCCAGTTTTGAGAACACCACAGAAGCTTAAAATATATCCAAATCTACCGAAAGCGACTAGCAACAACTCCCTTATCGTAGTTAGGTTCACGAATCGAACTGGCGACCTGATTCCACGGCAGATCCGCAAAGTCAGTATATTCACCCACATGATTCTCAACCTTTGCTACTATTCGCTGAAGACGTGAAATCAATAGATCAACCGATAGTGGCTCACGCAACGAAAGGCTATGTCTCCGCCTCACGCATTCAGGAGGTTCCTACATCGCAACGTGCAACGTGCCGAATGTGCTCTCGCAACTTGTCCCGGGTGCGAAAACATATCTTTTTTATTACAGTTTTTACATCTACAGCACCGTGCCTCGGGTCTGATATGGTTCAAAATAAGACAATGTCTATACAGGTCAAAATATGCTACCCACTACGGCTGATCTATCAACCCTGCCTAAGCAATCAAAAAGCTGTTGCCCAACTCGATTCACTTCCGACTCTAGGGAATGTGTTTCTAGCGTTTTGTTGTTGCTTCGGAGCGGGCTCCACCTTGAATGTTGATCCGCACACTTGACCTTGACTATCAACACGAGGCATAGCTTTGATGGGACTGAGAGGATGTTCGAAACTCTGAAGACCATCGGCGCTGGAGAAGTAACAGCCTGCATCACACAAAAAAACATTGAACTTTCAAGAAACTCGTCTGTAAATGACCATTATGCAGACCATGTGTGTTGCTAACGATGCTTCGAGCTACGGCATCGGCTTTGCTGGTAAATATCCTAAACTTATGCACGACAACGGAATTCATTAAGGTAATCTATTATTATGTATTGCGTGGATGTCGAAAGTTACCTTGAGGGAACGTAGCGAATGATTTACCACAAGCTTCTTTCAGAAGCTTCTGATCGTCAGAAAACGCAAGTGAGCCATCGGCAGTCGTGCCCCAGAAGAAGGGGACTTTCCCATGAGAATCCTGCGACAGAATGAACACATATAAATACATGGAGTATGCCGCCCGATCCACCAAGAAAGAGTCGGCAAACAAAACACCGATCTTAACTGCGACTAAGCGCTTCCGCTATGTCTTCATATTCAGGCCATGCCATTCAGAGCCAGGGCAAAGAAGGAAATATGGACTGTTTGTAGTTACATTTTGAAAAGTTGTAGGACGATGCAGAGCAAGATTCCACAATTCGAGACTACCATCGTAGGCGAGAGTGACGACCTTCCTAAAAAAATGGTGGCGGTTAAGAGTCATGAAATATCTTACCACTGCAACAAACACCGATGAGGTGGTGTTGTCGAAAAGAACAAATGCAAAAGACCCGTTGAGTCCACGAATGACATGATCTGCTGTATACGGCGACCGATCTCTTAGAGCTTTGTAGATTTCGATAATTATCGCTACCTCCGCAATGCTCTTAGTGATTCCGTACTGTTGTCTGAGAACAGAGATATTTTCAAGAGTTCCCTCGAACATGCATGTGATGTCATCGGTGACAGCCAAATACCTGCAGGACGCAGGAAAAAAATAAGGATCATCATAGAAAAGGCACTTCGCGCCAAGAACCATCTGAGACTCCCAGAACTCCTCATTTCAAGAACGAAATATTACGATGTGTATTGCAGCTGATCTAGAGCTGATATTCACCACACGTCAAACATAAAACTAGACGGTCCAATCTGCCTTTATAGCCAAAGTTCGAGTACCGTCGATTGTGAGATTGTCTCAAAAGAAGGTCGATCTAACAGAAAATACGCAGAAGAGTACTGAGACAATTGAGGTAAATTATACCTCGGTCTCAGAAGATGCTGCTTATCATGAGAGTACGCCATAGCACACTTGCCCCCAATTTCCATAGAAATTGCTCCAGGAAATTGAGCCTTGTAGGCATCCATGATGCCAGTGCTCTCTTTGCGCAATTCAGTACCCTCGCCGGGGACGGTGATCTCCTGCGGAGGAGAGGCAACCTTGGGGTGAAATAGAGCCAACATTTTGACCGGGCGACACTGGCTGCAGATTAGTCACGATCCTTTCCTTTCCTTTCCTTCGTCCGCTTCGGAACAATCCCGTCGGCTTCTTCGCTTTCTCGCTCCCTTCCTTCCTCGAGCTGGCAGGGCGGTGGCAACAGACTTGTCGAAAATCGCAAGCGGATATGGAATGCCGACTGAGGGCAGCGAAGGAGCCGTCTCACAAACCTGCTCGCAAGATATACTCGACGCGGACAAGCGGCACGGAGTAGATGTAACGCTCTCGGAGAATGCGGAGGAGAGAGTATACGCAATGCACGCGACAAACAGATCTGCCTTGAGAGGGAGCAAGGCAGAGCATATAAGGAGGTCGATCGGCCCGACGACTGTCGCCGGTGTGAATGCCGACCCACATCGCACCACATCCACTTCCGCCAGCGCTATCCCACGTGTTGCCTTGTCACGTTCGCTGGGCTGCCTCAGCCCGCCTCGGCCGAGCAGCGTCGCGCCTGTTCTCCCTTCCGCTCTCCACTCTCCTCGTCGCCCATTCGCACCGTACTTCTCTACTCCTCACTCCGACTCCCGCTCGACTGGCGTTACTGGCCCGCGTCTGACCGGCCTCTCCGTCCGTCCCTCTGTCGCATTCACCGCCTTCCGACCTCCGACCTCTGACCTCCGCCTTCCTCCCCGATACCACGTGTCACCACCTTCCGTGCGTTTCTGCCCCGGTCAAGTGTTCTTCCGTCAGTCCGTTCCAGTTGCGGTGCCAGTGTCGCGCGCGGAAGCTGCAATACAGAAACTAAGGAGATTAAAACTCATGATGCAATCAAATATCTCGCAGACATCGGAGTAAAATTCGACAGATATTTTCTCATACATATTTATATTCTTATTAAAATGAGGAGATTTTTGGCAGTTGAACCTGATTGCGCAACGGTCCCATCATCCTCGAGGAAACAGAAGGCTCATTAAGAGCCAAAAAGGAGATAGAGGCCGAGCGGAGTCATAGGACTTGGAAAAACTTCTCAACCACAAAGGGTGTCGAATTGATCCTTTTTTGCAGTGGAATAGACTCATCAATTGCTTCACCAAAAAAAAAAGGGTGTCGAATGACCATCATTATCATTAACGATGATAGAACGTAGGTGAGCTTGCTTCGAGTTTGGGGTTTGGATTCTGGTTTAAGCCCTCAACAGGTTACGACCAGCTATCCGAAGCGCAGATCTGGAAAATTGAATTCGAGTGGTGCCGACGTGAGGAACGCTCGATTTAAACTTAGCGATGTTTACGGCCGTCCTGAAGGGGGAAGGTGCCCGAGCTTCATGTGACTGCGAAGGACTGGTGGGACTAATCAATAATGCATGCAAGAAAAAACCCTTGATTGAATTCCATGTTTCTTTTATGAAAGGAATAGAATCTGCATAGGCACACATCCCCCATTGGAAAGTCAGAACACAGATAAGTTTAACAAGCCATGGCTAGGGGATGAGCTCCACGTTTGGAATGAAACTGATGTAAAATGTCGTGAAGAACTGAGAACTCTTGTGAACAAGTTTCAGTACATAGCTATGGAGGTCTACGTTTATATGCAAATACAATCAAAAGCCACCAACAAAAGTGATAACCTCTCAGAGCTTTCGTATGTATGTATCTGAAAATACAACTGTATGCTTTCAGGAAAAATGCGGTTTATGTATCACAACCATTAAATCAAAGACGACCCATTTTCCACGTTTTGCACTCAAAATGCCGCAAGATGCGTAAATGTCATCATATTTAGAGTATACCTGTAGCCATTGTTTTCTACAACCGTTTGATTGGCTCCTTGTGAAGCTTAAAAAAATATATGATGTAATAAGATTTTGCAGGATGAGAATGGGGGATTAACGATTAGATCCTCAAATTCTATGTTTCATAAATTCAGTAATCACCAAAACAAGACATGAACCTGTATCCATCATTCCTCAAGGAGATCTCTCATGTGAATCTATGATCCAAAAGGGTGGACCTGAAGGAACTCCAAATTCTACGCTGCATTGAGAAACAAGATGCCAGATTTAACCTCGTTGGGGTTGGCGAGATTCGGAATGAGGAACATGAAGGTCAAAGGATATGCAACCAATATCGACTGCAGAGATCATTGAACACAGAATCCCACAATCCGATCATTTTGCGATTTTCAAGGGATAGTAATCTCTTTATTGTGTTCATCTTCGGTCTTAGGAATATCATCTCATAGTCCCAAAGTCGACAACTGTTTCTGTTTGCTCCAAGAAGTAAATATTTAAACACACAATCGCAATGTGACACCAAAACCCGTTTCGTGGAAGAATACCGGTCGTACATGGCGCTTCGAGCGATCACCGGTACAAGAAAAGACAGATCTTGTCGACGAACCGGATGTCTGACCGATCGATCAGGTAAGGGAGGAGGACATGAATGGGTCGGGCGGGGGGAGGTCCTCGACAACGTGCGTCATGAGCAGCGGATAAGATTTAACCGCCCCATGCTCGGCGCCTTGACGTGGCAGAAGCACCAGTTTGCCACGCCACCTGTAGGGAACCGCGTCCTACTCAGCATCGGTTGCTTCATTGCCAGGATCTCAACTACCAGTACAACCTAGGTCACATTGATCGCTCTATAGCTTACACTTTTTCTCTCGAGAGGGGCGACTGGGAAGCTCCTGTGTCGCGGAGTTACTCGGTGACCGCCCGCGCGGGTCATGTCGCACCTTTTCTATTGACGGGCACATGCGCTTCGCAAGGCCTGATTGTCCCGTTCATGTCTCCCGACTCCCTCCCATCGAGCCTTGGAACCATTCCGCACTAATGTGTGTTCTGTAGTCCGGAGACACGGAGAGATAGAGAAGAGCCTGCGAACTCCGGGAGCAAAGAGCGCATGCAGAGTGGAGGATTGTACATTCAGCGAAGGCCTCAACTTCGAGGAGGGTGTCTTGAATCTTTGTCCGGTTCCGCGGAGTTTGGTTTGTTTCTCCTGCCAAGTTGGCGAGGAGGCCGGCAAAGTCCAACATGGTTTGAATCACACGTTTCATATAGGTGACTTGCCGAGGTTCAGTCAGTGAAAGTCTTCTTCAGTGAGGACACCAGTGACATTGGGGCAAAATCCGTTTGAGACTGTTCTTTCACAGCAAATCTGCGGTGAAAGATTCGAAGTCTATATTGTATCGTTGCCTTCCAATGGGAGATCAGGTATCACTTCCGAGGTAGGACCGGACCATTTTAGAACTAAATCACAGTACTTGCGGCTATTCTTCTCACACTGCAAATCGCCAATAGTCCAAAAGGAGTCCGTTGCTTTCCTCAGAGCCGTCTTGCCAAGTGTATGGTGACAGGTGCCCAATCTCGCAAATCTGAGTGTACACAAGAAATGTCTCTCGCTTCTATTGGAAACTATAGATAATTGGCTCGCCATGTGAAGGGATTTCAAGCATAGCCGCAGGCTTGCACCCTTACATGACGGTGTGAGTTCTCTGCTGGTTGTGCTTTACTCCCTTCCACAGGTCTTTTCTTCCTCATGGAAAGTGTCTCAGAATGAGTCTTGCGGGCTGTTCCAGGATTCCACTATCGGTTACCATACGTCACGAAACTTGCCAACATCTTTGGAGAAATGACGTGATGGTCTGAATATGACGATTGTTATGATCTGCCCCTCTAGGATTTCTGTAGTAGGTATCTTCATCGAGAAACCAACATACTCCCCTCTTAAACTACCGCAGAAGAATTATTTTTTAAATCCTATTCGGTCCGAACACTTTCCGTGATTTGTTAATCGAGTGCTTTTACTGAACATAACTTTTACTCATAAATCATGCGACTCACCATACCCATTAGCCCTCTATCCATCTATGTTGTAAGCATGTAGAGTCATAGAGACATTCATGGAGTCACAACATGAGATTTCGTTCTTGGATTACATAAGTTATTCGTGGAGCTCCCCTGTAAAAATACATTATTGTCCACTGTCTGGATTGAGTTTATCTTTTTGCATCTTAAGGTACAATCGCTATAATAGTCAACTGCAATTGGTTGAGATTTAAATCTCATGTCATGTAGCATTCTATTCATTTTGAAAGTCAAATGATCGTCACAAACAAGTTCCATTGCTAGAGATATTGCTCATAATGTGTGCAAACATTAATGTTACACTTTATCATTTAAGATAACAACATGTGCTAAGTTTTGATGTTTTTAAAACATCAAGTCGTGGTGACCAATTTTGTAGTAACAAACTTAGCACATTTTTGCCCGTGGTAGACATTAGAAATCATTACAAGCTTTATCCCTTATTAAATATCATGTTTGAGAACTTATGCACATACAAATTGCATCATAAAGTTCATAACTATCAAATCAAAGATCATATTACAAATTTTGTCATACATTGACACTTATGCAGCACAAAAAATAATTTATTTCAAAAATTCATAAAAACATTTTTAAAGATATCCACCATACAAAATTTGAAACTGGATCTTCATTCATCTACATTTCAATCAAATTATTCAACTTTCATGCGCTAGTCATCATTTCCTATACCTTTACTCTCATATTTAAACATTTCATTTCAAGCAGTTTTAATTTGAAGTTTGTTCCTCAGCCATAAATATTATACTAGCTTTGTTGCGACTAGCTGCTAGTCGCAAAAATTTTTTTAAGCTATGTATTAAAATATATTTTTATGTTATATTTTCATTTTTATGTTCAACAGTGGAAGAACGTTCAAAATGTTCATAGAATTTATTCCAAAAACTAACAGCATTTTAAAAACATACAAAAATTTCCTCTTGATGATTATTTCAATTTAAGAATATTTTTAAATCTTCAAAAAGTAGGTGCAAGTAATTCGAAAATTTACATACCATGGAAAATAGCTTAATGACATAAATTAGAAAAAAAATCAGGTAAAATTGAAAATTCTATATTATATATTATCATGATAATTGAATTTCATAATTTCAATATGTTTTTTATCGAAATAAATATATCACTTATTGAAATAAAATCATAATCAAGGAATGTTTTGAATCAATAGTTGATCTGTAATAATTTTCATAGAATACATATAATTTATAATAGATATTTTGATTGATGAACCATATTTATAAATCAAATTCTCTAATCACTAACAAATTTAATCAAGATTTTTTGTTTTTTCTTTCATATAAATTTAATAATTAAATTTTAAACTCAAGTTGTATCTTTTTTAACTCAAAATGTCTATCAATCACTATTTTCATTTAACTCAAGACAAAAAAAGTTGATGGGTATCTCAGCGTAAACCAAAAATCAATTTTAGTATCAAATAAT